TAATATCGGAGATTAAAGAGGGAAAATCACCACAGATTCCATGGAAATTAAAAGGATACGCAAGAAATACAATGAATAACTCTATGCCCATAAATTTGATAACTTAGATGAAATGGACCATCCCTTGAAAGACACAATCTGCCAAAACTCACACAAGAAGAAATAAAAGATCTGAATAGGCCTATATCTATTTTTAAAATGGAATCAATAATAACCTTCCAAAACAGAAAGTACAGGCCCAAACGGGTTCATTGATGAATTCTACCAAACATTAAAGAAAGAAATTATACTAATTTTTAAAATATTTATTTATTTATTTGGCTGCACCAGGTCCTAGTTGCAGCACATGGGATCTTCATTGCCACATAAGGCACCTTTAGTTGCGGCATGCAGGATCTTTAGTTGTGGCATGCAGGATCTCGTTCCCTGACCAGGGATCAAACCCGGGCCCCTGCACTGGCAGCACAGAGTCTTAACCACTGGACCACCAGGGAAGTCCCAGGAAGTTATATTAATTATCTACAATCTATTTCAGAGGATAGAAGCAGAGAGAATACTTGCTAACTCATTCTATGAGAGCAGCATTCCCCTAATGGCAAACCAAAAAAAGAATAAAAAAGGGAACTACAGATCAATGTCTCTTAGGAACACAGATACAAAAATCCTCATCAAAATATTAGCAAGTCAAATTCAAAAATGTATAAAAAAACTATACTTCACAACGAAGTGAGATTTATCCAAGGTATGCAAGACTCATTCAACATTCTAAAATCAATTATTGGGGGCTTCCCTGGTGGCGCAGTGGTTAAGAGTCCACCTGCCAATGCAGGGGACATGGGTTTGAGCCCTGGTCCGGGAAGATCCCACAAGCCGCAGAGCAACTAAGCCCGTGTGCCACAACTACTGAGCCTGTGCTCTAGAGCCCATGAGCCACAACTACTGAGCCCATGCACCGCACCTACTCACACCCACGCGCTCTAGAGCCTGTGCTCTGCAACAAGAGAAGCCACCACAATGAGAAGCCCGTGCACCGCAACGAAGAGTAGCCCCTGCTCGCCGCAACTAGAGAAAGCCCATGCTCAGCAATGAAGACCCAACACCGCCAAAAATAATAAATAAATTAAAAAAATAAAATCAATTATTGTAATCCATCACATCACAGACTAGAAAAGGAAAATCACATAATCATATCAACAGATACAGAAAATGCATCTGACAAAATCCAACACCCATTCATGATAAAAACTCTCAGTAAACTAGGAATAGAGGGAACTTTCTCAACTTGATAAAGACTATCTACAAAAAGCCTACAGCTAACATCATACTTAATGGTAAGAAACCTGAAGCATTTCCACTAAGGTCAGGTACAAGGCAACGATGTCCCCTCTCACCACTCCTTTTCAACTCCGTATTGGAAGTCCTTGCTAATGCAATAAGGCAAAGAAATTAAAAAGATTGGGAAGGAAGACATAAAATTGTTCATAGACGACACAACCATCTATGTAGAAAATCTGAAAGAATTAACCAAAAAACTCTTGGAAATAATAAGTGATTACAGCAAGGTTGCACAATATAAGATTAATATACAAAATTCAACTGTTTTCCTATATACCAACAATGAACAAGTAGAATTTGAAATTAAAAACACCATATCATTTACAATAGCACCCAAGAAAGCAAAGTACTTAAGTATAAATCTAAGTATACATATATATATATATATATATATATATATATATGATCTGTATGAGGAAAACCACAAAACTCTGATGAATGAAATCAAAGAAAAACAGAATAAATGGAGAGATATTCCACACTCATGAACAGAAAGACAACATTGTCAGTTCGTCCCAATTTTTTCTATAGATTCAATGCAACCCCAATCAAAATCCTAGCAAGTTATTTTGTGGTTATTGACAAACTGATTCTAAAGTTTACATGGAGAGGGGAAAGACCCAGGATATCCAACACAATACTGAAGAAGAACAAAGCTGGAAGACTGACACTGCTCTACTTTGAGGCTTACTATAAAGCTATGGTAATCAAGCCAGTGTGGTATTGGCAAAAGAAGAGACAAATACCTTAATGGAACATAACAGAGAATCAAGAAATAGAATCACATAAATACAGTCAACTGATCTTTGACAAAAAAGCAAAGACAATACAATGGAGCAAAGATAACCTCTTCAACAAATGGTGCTGGAACAACTAGACATCGACATGCAAAATAAAGAATCTAGACACAAATCTTACACACGTCACAAAAATTCACTCAAAATGGATCACAGACATAAATGTAAAACTCAAAATTATAGAACTCCTACAAGTTAGCACAGAAGAAAACCTACACAAACTTGGGTATGGGGAAGGTATTAGATACAATACCAAAGACACAATCTTGAAAGAAATAATTGATAAGCTGGACTTGATTAAAATTTAAAACTTCTGTTCTGTGAAAGGCAATATAAGAGAATTAAATGACAGCCACAGACTGTGAAAATATATTTACAAAAAACACATCTGATAAAGGACTGCTACCCAAAATATACAAAGAACTCTTAAAACTCAATAATAAGAAAACAAACAACCCAGTTAAAAAATGGCCAAAGACCTTAACAGACACTCCACCAAAGAAGATACAGAGGTGGCAAATAAGCACATGAAAAATGCATCACATCATATGGCATGATATGACAAAAATCTGACAACACGGAATGCTGGCAAGGATGTGGAGCAACAGGTACTCTCGTTCATCGCTGGTAGAAATGAAGGCAAAGTGGTGCATTTCAGAAGACTGGCAGTTTCTTACAAAACTAAACATACTCTTACCATATGATCCAGCAATCGTGTTCCTTGGTATTTACTCAAAGAAGTTGAAAAATTATATCCACATAAAACCTGCACACAGATATTTATAGCAGCTGTATTCATAGTAGCCAAAAAGTGGAAAGAACCCAAATTTCCCTTAACTGAAGAATGGATAAACAAAATGTGGTATACCCACATAATGGAATCTTATTGCTCAATAAAAAGAAATAGGGACTTCCCTGGTGGCACAGTGGTTAAGAATCCGCCTGCCAATGCAGGGGACACGGGTTGGAGCCCTGGTCTGGGAAGATCCCACATGCCATGGAGCAACTAAGCCCATGCGCCACAACTACTGAGCCTGCGCTCTAGAGCCCATGAGCCACAACTACTGAGCCCGTGTGCCTAGAGCCCATGCTCCGCAACAAGAGAAGCCAACGCAATGAAAAGCCCACGCACTGCAATGAAGAGTAGCCCCCGCTCGCCACAACTAGAGGAAGCCCACACGCAGCAACAAAGACCTAACGCAGCTAAAAATAAATAAAATAAATTTATAACAACAAAAAAAGAAATGAAGTACTAATATGTACTACAACATGGATGAACCTTAAAAACATTATGCTCGGTGAAAGAAGCAAGACATAGAGGATCACATACCCGTATGATGTCATTTATATGAAATATCCGAACAGGCGAATCCATTGACACAAAAAGTAGATTAGTGGTTACCGAGGGCCGGATAGGAAGAGGTTTGGGGGAAAGGGGAAGGGACTGCTAATGGGTACTGGGGTTTCTTTCTGGGGCAATGAAAATGTTCTCAAATTGATTGTGGTGATGCTCATTCAACTCTGTAGCCTGGGAGACCTGTGACCTTAGACAAGGACTCTTCCTGCGCCAACTGCTCTCTCTGTAAAATGTCAACCATATGACCTACCTCACAGAGTCAAGCAATTAAACCATGAGTGTGAAAGTGTTTCACAGCAACAGGCACATAATAGTCATTCCATACAAGCTAAAAAAATAACAAAATATGCAAAAGTACCTTGTGATAAAGCCTTCACAAATGTCAGGTGGTTTTATAATTTCATATATAAAATCATAACATACATTATCAGAAATAAGCCATTTTCAGTTTCACATGCTGCTTTCCAAAGACTCACTTGAGCTCAGTGCCCCACTGTTTCAAAGAGAAGTTAATGGAATTTGGATGCCCTGGGGCGGGCTGATTTGCAGCTTGCTCTCCCACCAGCTCTCCAGGGGCAGTTTCCACAGCTAGGACATTTCTGGCTTTTTCTGCAGAAGCATTTGGGTGCAGGTTAATTAAATCTGAAAGAAAGGCAAACAAGTGTCAGTTACTCCAAGTTTCCACAGGGAACCTGATAGCCTACATAGTACACTGTCTTGATATACTATATAAAAATCTATATAGTATATATTATAGTATATTTTTAATGTGTACTACATGAACATACAATCTGTAGGCAGCTAGAGTGTTCTGCAACCATTTTCATCTAAAGTAGACCCATGGTCCTCAAAGGAAGGTGGTACATGCTTCAAACCACCAAGTTAACAGCATCGGTCCAGGGAAAGAAGAAGCTAGGGCTCTTCTCCGCTGTCTTGTAGATCAGTAAACCTGGTATAAAGCTGTGATCATGGTCCACTCACCTATACTGATAAGGCACAATTTCCAGGATAAACTGTTAGGTGAAAAAAGCAAAGTGCAGACCAGATTACATTAATGCCCTTTTCTGTAAGAAAGTGAGGGGAATAGAATATATATATACTTGCTGATCGCAAATAGTTACACTGAAAAAATAAGTTTGCATATAAAGGATAGCAGTTCAGTAAATTCATAGGCAAATGCATTGATGCTAAAGCATGATCAAATTTCAGAATGTATCTTTAAGATGTAAGTGGTTGAGGGACTTCCCTGGGGGTCCAGTGGTTAAGACTTTGCCTTCCATTGCAGGGGGTGTGTGGGTTCGATCCCTGGTCGGGGAGCTAAGATCCCACATGCCTCGTGGCCAAAAAACCAAAAAACATAAAAAAAACAGAAGCAATACTGCAACAAATTCAATAAAGACTTTAAAAATGGTCCACATCAAAAAAATCTTAAAATAAAATGTAAATGTCTGAAATATTTAAGGTTGCAATCATATGATGCCCAAAATTTGCTTCAAGATAACAACATTTTGGTGCTCGCTTTAGCAGCACGTATACGCAACTAGAACGATACACAAAAGATTAGCATGGCCCCTGCGCAAGGATGACACGCAAATTCATGAAGTGTTCTGTATTTTTAGATTAGGATTGACATATATACACTAATATGTATAAAATGGATAAGAACCTGCTGTATAAAAAAATAAATAAAATAAAATTCAAAGAAAAAGATAACATTTTGTTATTTAACAAATAAATAATATTTGCCTCAAATAACATGTTATTTGCTTCCAAATAACAAAATTAAGTGGGCAAGTATATCAATGAAACAAGATGGGTCATGAAATACTAATTGTTGAAACTACCTAATAAACATTGGGTAATATTATGTTATTCTCTCTTTGCATATGCTTAAAATTTCCCATAAGACCCATAATAAAAACTTACTTTTCTAAAGTTTTGTTAAAATGTATCCAACAATAAATACTTTGTATTCTTCCAAATGATATAATCTCTCAGAGAATATATATGTTTGTAAACAGAATTTAACATTGTTTTACAATAATCAATTTGACCTATACTCCCCTTGAATAAAGCATCCCTACATTGGCAATATCAACCATCACTCCTTCAGTGGAAACAGAATCAGAATGGAACGCTGAACACTGATAACCAAGAAAAAAATTACTTTCTAATCAGATGAGCACACAACCTGAGTTCACTTAGAACAGGTCACTGTGAAGGTCATCGAGCACTCACAGAGAAGGCAGAGCACAGGGAATCCTGGACTCGGGGGCCCTTGAAAATTGATGTTCCAAACGGGAACACCTTATGACGGGCTCACACTTTGTTGGCAGGTCACTAACTTGACCACAGTCAGCATGGCAAGGGCTCCGGGAACACACTGGGAAAAGTATGCTGGCTGTGACATGAAATGACTGCTGTGTATCCATGAGGCGAACTGGTGCCTGCCCAGGAGAGTCAACACCTGGCTCATAGTAGCGTTCTAAGTGGAAAAGGCAAGAGGGTGTGTTGGGAGACAGAAGAACTATAGGCTTGGCAATGGATTATAAGATTAAGTCAAGAAGGCCAGAAGTTACAAACCACCACTGGTTCCTGATTCTTGGTTCAAGTCACCACTGTGTATGAAGCACTAGGTGCTCGGGGTACCAAAAAAAAAATGAGAGAGTTCTTGCCCTAAAGGAGAACACATCTAGGAGAAAGATATAAAATAATCAAATGTTAAGCTGCAAGTCACCACCGAATGCATCGAGTCCCTGGTATCCAGACTTTCCTCTGAGCCTTAGGGTCCAGGAGATGCCTTGGGGATTTTCAGAGGGAGAGAAGGAAGGGGTCCCACTCTCAGCTTCAACCACAGTGGTTCCTCTTTTCACTCTTTTATATCCTGGAGTTCCTCTTGAGATTTCATTTGGAAAAAAAGAGTTCCAATAAACAAACAAAAAACAAGTTCAAACACCACTAACCGGGTCCAGTTTCCTCCACCTACTTTATTTGTCAGGACACAGAAGCCCTGAGCTGGGGCTAGAAGGCAGTCACCTGCTCCTGCAGTGACAACAGCCTTATGGCGGGTGCAGTGACTGTACTGGGTAGAGGCAGGCATCCGACATCTGTGAGTGTGTGTCGGTCATTGGGCACACAGGTGCACCACCTCTATATCAGACAAAGGTAAAACCGATTTGCTCACAGGCAAAGCATTACAACTCTACACCAAACCAGGAAATAAACACAGTGCACTGCACCTGTTTCTGTTTCGAGCAGAGTCCAGCCCCTTCTTCCTGTGTGGGTTGGCAGCAAGGTGAGGAGCGGCCCCTCTGCGGGTGAGACTGTCAAGCTCTCTCGCATAGCCAAGCACCTGTTACCAGGATGCCCAGGCCTGCCAGCAGCCCTGGACCCACACTGGAAATGGTTCCTGAGGAACTCAGGCCCTGGGGGTGGGGTGCAGAAAAGGGACTGGAGGCCGGGGAGGATGCTGGCAAAACAAACCGTTTCTAAAAGTCATCGTTTGACGTGAAAAAGAAGCCATTTCCCAGTTTTAGCTGGATTGTTTTGTCTGGTTTTTGGTTGTTAAAAGACCACATGAGATTTCCTTAATTAAAAGCGGAGCTGCTGGCTTCCCCTCAATACATGTCCTAACATTAGCATTCAGGGAACCGCCTCAAGAAGGACGCAAACTAGGACAGGGCAGTATTTCCTTGAAATCCTTAAGAGGATGGACTGGATTCACGAACATGTGCTTTATCTTGCAGCTGCAGTGGGGGGAGAGTCTGCGCTTGAAGAGTTTTGGTGTTCAGACCTTCTCTGTTATTTCTGAACACTTCCCAATGCCTAAATGACACCTCTGAGCGACTTTTAGACCACAGATTTCCTGGGTTCTGATTCCAGCACAGCCTCTATCATTCTGGCGTGGCCATTCCCAGATCTCCAGGAGTCCTTCCCGCTGAACGCATTCTAACACCAGGGGCCCTGTGGGGCCCACAGAGGGAGGCTCCTGCTCACATCTGGACACCTCCGTGAGTCTGCCCTCCTCTCCGGCTCCTAGCTCCACCACGAGCAACCTCGCAGAGGGCAGAACAGAGTGCCCAGGAGGCAGCATCCTCCAAGAAAGGAGGAAAAAGCACTGGGAAAAGGCCATTGCCATGTGTGTCAAAGATACCGCAAAAGAGAGCCTGCAAGTCCCCACTGGGAGCTGGGGGAGGACACTCAGAGCAGGGTTAACCTGAAAAAGCTTTTTTTCCCTTTTTATCAAAGTGAGTTTAACCCAGATTGTGAAGGCGTGGTCAGGAGCGGTACTGTTATCTTCCAAGTAAGGGCACAGTGTGCATCTAACCCCAAAAGGAAGAGGCAGCAAGCCATGGGGTCTGAGCGTCCCCTGTGGGCCAGTCCACGTGTCTGGCTAATTACGCATCTGTCTGCTCTCTCCCATGCCTCACCAAGGACGTAAATCTTGTGAGAACTGGACCCCAGCCTGATTTGCTAACAGCTGCATACCCAACAGCAGCCACAGAGGAGGGACTCAATAAATGGTGGTAAAATGGTTGAAGGAATGAATAAACGACTGCCGTGGTGCGGCAGGGAGGGCCTTCTGGAGGCTGAGGAAATCACGCAGGAGGCAGCAGGCCCATGTCTGTTCTCTAAGGAACCACGCCCATCATCCCTCCTGGCTGCCCCTCTCCTGCCACCTTGCCTCTGACAGACCCCCTGCATTAGGGGTGGGGAGCACACCTGACTCCAGGGCTTCCCTCTTTTCCCCTCTCCCACCGCCCTGCACTCCTGCAGCGGCTCAGCACCCCAGCACACCGCCCAACCCCACCCCCTGTTCACCGCGCCACGTCGCACCCAGAGCCAGGCCCAGCCTGCCTCCGCAGGCACCACACTCCAGCCCACCATGGACCGTCTCGTCCGGACCTTCTTCAGGAGGCTCCCCCAGGCTCCCCCAGAATCTGACCCTGCTCATCGTCTCCCTCCCTTTCACAGCCTGACGTTAGGAATCACAGAACCTTCCATCCAGAAGGAATCAGAGACAGCATCTTGCTCCCAGAGAGGGAAACAGTGTGTGCCCTTCATTCCATCAGCTTTCTGCACTAGATCAGGCTGCCTCTCAGCTACAAGGCTGATAATCACCGTGACTTACACTTTAAAACAACACATGGCATTCTGTAGTATTCTACAAACAGGATAACATAAAAGCACAGCTTCTTTGATGACTTTAGGGAACTGTGACATGAAATGATTCCATGGAATTCCTGTGGCTTTGCTAATGTGGGGTCTGCGTCCCACCCTACGGTTTCCCTCCCACCAGTTCCAGCACTTGCACAGAGAGCGCGGCTCAAACTGGGGGAGGACTGGAACAAGCAGCCACTTCCCTTCCCCTCCCCCTGCTCCCACACAAGCCGAGAGGGTGGCAGTTACCCTCGAGGCTGCTTCAGAGAAGGAAAGGTGTGGTCATCCCTCAAACCATCTTCACTGTACCATTTTCCCCCTGTGATGGTGAGGGCTTTTGTATTCCTGAACACTCAGGAAGTCTTAAGAAAACAAAGTCTTGTTGTCCCTGACTTGTTTGCCTATTAGTTTACATGGGAAATGAAGTAAACAGAACGTGCTGGACACACAGCTTGTAATGAGGCTGTTAGCTCGCTACAAGCCTCCTTTGAATTCTGGCTGCCTCATTCCCAACAGCTAGGAAGGTCTGCAGACTCTTGATTTTATCTTTGCAAATTACTCCTTTGTGTTGAAACTAAGTCTTTATCTATCCAAACACGGAAGACAAGCAGAGTGGTGTCTGAGGCGTGGCATACTTTCAGAGGCCAGGCTGCAGATGGAAGGCAGACAGATCAGATAAAACAAAGTCATCTCACTTTCTAACACTTGATTGACTAATAGGAGGCTGCAAATTTCAGTCACACAGATGAACAGATTCTTACTCTAGAAACATGAACTCTTGAAAACAAATTTAATGTAGGTAATTACGTGACACTGCCAGCTGCCTATCTGATACCCATTCTAGCTCTTCCTTACAGACCCTGCTTTTGATGGTGGCCACACGCTCAGCTAAAACACTGGCCTCCTCAAACTCCATTCCAGAGTCTCCATGACACAGTTCTGGTTAATAAGGCATAAAGCAAGAGTTTCTGGGAAAGCTTTCTCCTTTGTAATATAGGTGCCACTCCCGAAGGCAGCTAGCATGAGGAGGGAAGCTAATACTCTAAGGCTGGAGAACAGAATGGGTCCCTCAACGGCACTGTGGAGAAGGTTCGCCAGCTGTGGACTGCCATCATGAGACAAATAAATCTCTATTTGTAAGTCCCTATTAGGTTTCCTGTTAATTGCGGCTGAACATAATCCTAACCGATTCAAAATGGTAATATCATATATGTATGTATACGTGTGTAGATATAATACACTTGACACTTTACACTTAACAATGCAGTTTCCCATCTGATCCTCAAAACAGAAATACTGCCGGGATGGGGACGGGTGGGGGACAAGGTCGTTGTTAGTATTCCTTTCAATCCCATCCAGCCAACTGCCTGGGCCTGGGACCGGCACCCTCTGCCTTCCCGCTCCCTCAAAGCTAATCCCACCTTTTAATCCACCAGTTCTCCCACCATACAATCTCC